TATCGCTTTTTATCGCAAACCTTTAAGGCTACTTGTGTAACAGTTCTTCTCTCTGCCTAGTTGTAGGTGGATTGATCCAGACCTAGTTCGATCTGATAGTACACAATAATGGTGGAGAGGGGTTGGACTCGATCGAGTCTCCGCGCGAGACCCTATGTAGCAGACCAACACGAACTAAGTCGACAGTTCCTATGCAAAAGCAACAGCCACGGCCTACCAGACAGTACGAGCAACGGAATCATGTTGAGACAACGCACAAAATCTAATGCTGCACATGTCAAACGAAGCAAAAGCTTTCTCGTAAGTACAAAATAGTTGACCGTATTAAACTGATATATTCTATATTTATAGTGTGGACTTTTCACAAATTAATGATTATATATAATAATAATAATAATAATGATAATTAATGATTATATAGATGAAGAAATTGACTGAAGAGTTAAATATACATTCGCTTTCATCAAACTTAAACAACGATGGAAAGCCTTTCATGTCTTTTGGGCATTTGAAGTGTATTATTACTAGCAATAAGTAATCAAGTAGACATGTATGTATATATATATAGAAAAGTATACTATTTCATCTAGTACCTTCCGATTCCGTAAGTGAATCGACAGAAGCCAGTAATCGCAATGAAAATGTCTGAAAGTTTCTTGGTCACATAAAAACAAAGCTTAACGACACAGAAACAGAGATCCATACACAGAGCAAGGTTTAAAGAGGCGTTCGTAAGTTCTTAAGCAATCATCGTTTCTTGCAACGTTTATTACCATCGTAATGAAGAGCATTGCGAGAGCTAAAACCGGTATTTGGCTGCATCGTTTAAATAAGTTACAACGAAGCGCGCCGCTCTGTATTCGAAACATACCATAACATAACAGTTATTCTGTCGTCGAATCGCTAGCTAGTCTTGTAGCCTACATTTCCCTACACTTTGAAGTGAATTTATTACAGGAGTTAACTTTCTCTGACTCCTTTCAATGTATAGTATATTCTTGTTGTCCAATGCTTCGAAATATTTCGAACCACCGTTTCGATACTACTACGATTCGAACTAACAAAAACAGTAATCGCAGCCGTTCAAGCGGTTTTACGGTACTAAATGTATGATCAGCTTAAATTTCTAAATGTCAACGTTCTGAAGCAATCTTTCGAAATGTTTATAACTTTACTTCTTTGAAATTTCAACATTTATTTGCTTTTTTACTTGTTTTGTTTTGTTTTTTCTTTAATAATACTGTTATAACAATTTGCATTAGAGATCCAGGGCAAAGCAATCGCTAGCTAAATATCGTATCTTAGCCTAGGTTTTCTTTTCTTTTTCGTTTCTTTGATAATTGGAAAACGTAAGCAAATGTTATCTGTTGTTTTTGTATGATATTTTGCAGGATAGATGCATCTCCTAAAATGCAATTGAAAAGAGTGCAGCGTATCCTTGTTGGACGATCAATCTATTGTTGCATCGTTCTTAGCGCATTCTCGCGCACGTAATCCTTGTCGCGAACCATAAAAACGAGAAACTGCACTCCGGAATTGGTGGAGTGATGCATGCGTCAAAAAGATACGTTATTTAAAAAAAATCAAAGTTAACTGCAACAAACTAAGAACTACAAAATACTCAAAAATTTTTCATGATTTACTAGGTTAGGTTAGCACCAGGAAGCAAATCTCACCAGGCAGGGGATGGCAATAGAGTTCTGGCCCTCAGAGTAATAACTATCCAATGAATACTCCGAATGCTAAACTGAGCTGAAAAAGACTTCAGCTGTTTTGGTTGAGCATACTTGACCGCAATCTGTTTCGTACTAAAGCATATTTCGTCATTCTCCGATCAACAGCAACAAACTGCTCATTCGTTTCGTTACTAAGCAAGCGGCAAAAAGTAATTAACAATGACCGTTCTGAGACCATTTACGTTCTGCCATGAAAAACTTCTTATTCGAATATACAGTAATGTCAAAATAATTCTTGCGCGGAACTTATATACTCCACTCGTAACTCGCTTCGTTTCTTACCTTGACGTGATTATCGACTGCGGCGTGTGCTGCCGCTTTTTTAGCTTTCTCCACAAGGTTCACATTGGAACTCATTGTTCGTGATGGTAGGTGGCTCGACAAGCTATCACGAACGAGTTGATGACGCTGATGTTCAGGAAACCGCTGGCTCAGTAAACACTTCCCGGTGCACTTGGATATGGTAGATATATCGGCGACTGAAAACGGAACAATAGTGCTCCGGACTGCTAATATTGACGATCGTACAAGACAGCACAGCTCATCCACTGACCACGAACAAAACCGCAGCATGCCACCTTCTCTTACTGGCCTCCAAACAACTCCAGCAGCGACCAGCGTAAGATGCTCTAGTGATCACCAGTCAAAAGAGCGTTCTGGGCCCTTTCCACTTAGCTCGTGTTGTCAGTCGTTTCCATTTAATATTGTCTTTTACGAAAGACGAGCTTACGTTACCAATATGTACTACCTAATTTTGTCGCGTGGCAATCTCAGAATCACTAAGCCTTCGCCCGGAAACCTTTTCAATAGGACAGCTTCATTAACCAATAAAGGCAAATCGCGGTAGATTTGGCAAACAACAATACAGCAGAGGAACACAATGAAAAATAAAAAAGACAACGCCTGCGCGAATTCGGTTGTTCGATCAACATCATTGTTGGTGTTTATTTAGATACTTTGAGAGAGTTCTGATATCACACGTAATACCTGCGTGTTCAAGGAGTACACCTGTTTTTAGATGTATTAGTAACTTATTTATGAATGTTTCGCAGACCTAAATGCTGCTACCTGTCTCACGATAAGCGTCGAACAACAATCCACCGTTGAAAGCCATTGCTATTACCCCTGCAAGTGTGCACACCATAACATCGCTTATTTTACGTTGAGAGTTCCAACAGTGGCGGAACGGTCCGTGCTACTAGTCCGGTCCGTGCACGATTTGCCGTCGCTCGAGCACCGTGAAAACGTATGGATGGAGCTCAGTAGGGCACACAGGGTTGCCTACCGAGGAGACTAGTACCACAACCATTGTCACACATGTACCACGTGGGGAAAGGGCCATATCGGGAAAGCGCTTGTATACAACGCGATCGATTATCTTTCGCATAATAACAGAGATAACAAGAAATGCTTACGACGTGTTATTTGTAGATTATTATAATGCATTTATGAGCGGGTACGAAGTATGTAATGACAAGAAAAAAACTTCGCACATTACATGTTGTTTTTTATGTTTCTTTGTTTAACGTTACCCGTGGTGTTTTAAATTACGATATATAGCGTTAGAACATAAAAACAGATGCGAATAGTTAGAGACGCATGTCTTTCGTGTTATGAACAATGCCTATATCAGTAATATTTATTTTATGGTGTTTTTGCGAACCATATATTTATTTTAGCTTGATAACCAAATTAAAGTCATGATGCAATTGTTTTACAAACAGTGTTTTCTGGTGCCCTTAAATCCTAGTCAGATATTACAACAAGAAATGGTATCAGTCATTTAAATACGATTAACAATCAGTTGTTAATTTGCTTCATGCTTTGATAACAGCCCGCAACAAAATCTCGCTTCATTTCAATTGATAGTTATCGGCCGATTACTCCATTATCTAGCCATATACCGATTCATACCTTTATTGAAGGTAAACGTTGTGCAGTTAATCAGTATATCACACCCACCGATAAAAATCGTTTTCTAGTACTCAGAAGGAAAAATTATTAGGTAAAGGATATCGCACGTACTATCATTCATGACTAGATATCCAATTTACAGTGGCCCGGATGGTACCAAAATACAATAAGCATTTTTCCTCATTGCTCAATGTATATATCGTCAATACATAAGGAGACCTATCTATTGAGGACAGGGGACGCACTTTAAATATTGTAGCAAGCACAAATGCTATACTGAGAGAAACGGAAACTAATCTATATATATATATATATATATATATTGTTTCGTAAAGCCAGTTTTTTGACATACATAAATTAATGTGAGTCGAATGTCTCTGCTATGTGCTCACGAGATAATTATTACATACCAATAAGTCTGTTATTTCAGAGAAAAAACACTTTAAAAGGAAGACACAATTTGAAAATTGTTGTACACGCAGATGCGATCTACACGCACAATCTATATAGACAGCACGATTTACAACAATATAATAGTTAGCTACCGTAACCTGAAATATGTGCAAAATAGCAGATAATGTATAGTACCTAGCACATCATAACTTTGTCTCCATTAGCCGGCTTCTACAGAAAATGCGCTTACAATTTGGCCTTGAGAAGACTGACACGAAAATATCGTTTGGCCAGTATAATCGTTTTCGAAGTGAATAGTCACCGTATTGTCTTGCAAATTCGAACTGATTGCACGCGAACATCCAGTGACATTGTTTTTGTCACGTTGTAGAGCTCATTACGATCGGCCACCCGTTAATGACACACGACGAATTCCTTTAAATTACACCCCCAAGATCAGTTGTTACATTTCGGGTTTTTTCAAGAGCCGTACATATCTACATAGATACCCACCCACCAAATGATGTTTCTCTGCATTATTTTATGTTGCCGCATTAGTGTAATTCTCGTTCATCGTTCATAGTAAACGTAGTACTTAGAGGGGTCAATATATAGACAAGATACGTTTTAATGTATACGTAATAATAATACGTTAAAATGGTACACCCACTCTACTGATCTACAGCGCAAACTCAAACGAAATCGCGCCATTGCCATATTCCTTTTTGCCGCGTTACCTTTTCGCTAATTTCCCACGGCACCGTTACCAAGCTTGGGTACGTTTTTGCTGTGGTACCATTCCGACGCGGGTCTGTTGTCATTCGACGTGATACCTCTATTTAGCGGAGAGGTCCCCGCGTAAACACAGACCGCTGCGCTCCAATCTGGCTCAACTGACATTAGCCGCTAGTTCACTGGCTCCAGCGTCAATACAGGGAAGCGCCCGCAGCTGACCCCGCTTAGCCCCGGCCATTGCGTATATCGGTGCGATTGTCGCGGAGGGCCGCCGCTGCTGCTGATACTACTACTGTTCATATGGCAGCACGAGCCGTCTGCTCGAGAGGCGAGAAACAGGCAAACAAAGGCCGTTGCTTGTCGACGGAATGGTCGATTAAGGAGAACGGCAACATAGCCAGCAGTTGGGCTAGCAGCCGTCGCCGGAGCCGTCGCTGCCGCAGCGGCAGCAAAGGAACGAGTGAATGATCAAGAATCAACAGCAGCAGCAGCAAACGAACCAGCAAAACACCTCATGTAACAGTAGTAAATAGCTGACAGGGTATAACAACCCGAACTAGGCAGCGACCGAAAACGTTTCCTTGTCGTGTCGCGAACGGCTCCTGGATTCGAGCGAGGCACAAAGGTGAAAAACTTGTGAATAATTCGCTGCTACCGCCGGGGTTCCCTGAAATCTTCTGTGAGGATGCGAGTCAGTAGCGGGTGCCAGCTACGTTCTACATTTGCACGATCCGCAGTTGTTCACTGTACATATACAGCGAGCAGCAGGTTTTTCATTGTCGCCGGAGTTGGCTACCGATTTGCATTACAAACGCCACTGCAACGGAAGTAATCAAAAGTGAGCATCGCAATCAACGGGCGACAGCAGCAATTACGCAGTCGTTGGGGGTTCGGGTGGCAGGGCGACATCGTGCGCACGGAGCCGCTAGCCGTTGGTTGAGTCTTTTTTAACGACGTTGTAGCGAACAACTACCCCTGGCTGAGCCCAACTATGCTATCGACGTTCAATCTGCAGACCTACGCCCCGTTAACGTTTACGGCTTGTTGTGGTTGTAACGCTGTGGTACAGTACCGTGTTGCGAAGTGTGATATTTAACAAAACGTCGATCGAAAGCACGACAAAAAAGCGAATTTTTACAGAGGAACGAAACGTGTTTGCTGCTTGTGTCTCGTATATTCTACCATATTCTATTGTTTATGTATGCGCGTCAGTACGTAAGAATACGTGAGGGGCCTTCCCGTACGCTGAGCGCTGTTAGCCTGTGCATGTTCGAGTTCCTATTCCACGAAAAGCGGATGGCAGGACTACCCTGTTATTCAGTGGAGGCCTGGATATGTAGTGGATATTGTTTATGATTGTCTTAGAACGGAGTTACGGAGGTGCCGGAAATAGGTGTTATTTGTTCGTTGTCTTCTGGAATCAATGTGTGAGTGTGCTTCGACGCTAGTGACCGTAGCAGAGGTTTACTCGAAATGTGTGCTGATGTATGCATGCTATTTCATCGGAGTGACACAACTATCGTGGTGTCCGACGGCGGGAGTCAGACAAAGCAGGCTTGATAGCACCAACGGTCGACGGGAATAACGAGCCTGAAAACAACAACAACAACAGCACCAACGGAACTACTCGCCTTATCAACGGGCCATAGACACTGATGTTGTTGTTGTTCCCGCCTATCCTATGAATTTATTCTAACCCGACAGCTGTGCAAAGTGTAAGTTTGAATTTTCTGTCAATTAACAGGATGATTGTTAAACATGAATTCATATTGAATCGGATAATAAATCAGGGAAGCTAAGTACTTCTTTGTAAGTGTTGAATGTGTCGATGCTATTATCCTGATATCAGTTCGAAGGCCTACGAATTCTTGTGGAACTGAACCATTTATTCTTCCTCCACCTCGTATAAAATGCCTAAAATAGCTATAACAGAAAAGATCTGGATATCAAAAAGAGAGCTGTTTCTCCAGACAACATGATATATTCCAACACATTAAGCTGGAAGAGCAGTTGTTATTGGAGAAGTTTCGAATGGTCTATGGCATTATATATCTATGGCATTTTGTCAGCGTGCAGGAGCGGTCGGCAACCAGGTTTGCTGGAATTGGCCTTTCCGCCGGACAATGGCAATTCAGCCTGATAGGTGGTGGTGATTATGACAGAACATGTGACACATAGACGCCGTGCATTTGCCGACAAAAAATCAATACTTAGGTTGAACTACCACAAACTTGGTCTATTGACGGTTCAACAGTATGTAAATAGTTTTTTTTTTATTGTACAAAGAAGAAATAGCTTATTAAGATTTTGTCTTTTATTAGGCGTGGCGGGAGAATAGGATGTGACATAGCGTTGCCGCCGCTGTTCGAGGTTCACACGAACTGGATGAGCCGGTATCGGAGACCGGAGTACTATGTGAAAGAAATGCTGCAAAAGATGTTTTGAGAGATTTCTTCCAAACAACGTGTACGGCTTTTTCCTACTTTTGGCCAATGATAGGGCCAGCATGTTGGCTATTCGACGAGTTCAGCAGTCGGAAGAATCCAAAGTCTTCGATGGCTAAGGTCTAGCATTGAAATGTCATACTTCATACATAGAGGTTAAGTACCTCCACCAATTGTCCACTCCAGTAATCCGCCTCCCTGCCCTTGCACAGCTGATTTCTACGCTAGATCTGATATCACAGCGTATTGCTTTTTTCATTGTCATCGACAAATAGAGTAATAGAAAACTTAGCTTTTCCCCCATGGTCTTTATATGAATTGACCCAAAATATGGCGGCTATCGCTGTTGCTGGTAATTAACCCTGTTATGCAGTTATCGTCCTACTAGACAGAACCCCCCGTAATCTGCCATTGCCTGTGAGTACGATTCGTGCGTATTTGTACTTGTCTATTTGTGGAGGTGTATGTGTATTCGACAAGAAAGGTGTTTTGCCCGTTGGATCTAGCTGTCGGCTAAGTTAAACTTGACGCTCGACTTAAAGGAGCAACAGAAGCAGTACTAGTCATATGAGTTTTTTTGTAGTGGTCGCTGGGGGCCATTTGACAGTGGCACGGCGGCTGTATAGTGCGTAGGATACGGTGCACTCTATTATGGATGTCATCAGTTGCATCTCTGCCATGTAGCCTTAATACGGAGGCATCATTCACTAAGTTGTCGCTTGCAGCCGCGCGTCTTCTGCAGAATTCCATGGATGTCTGGACATCTCGCCATGTTCGCGGCGGGTATCGCTGTGTTGTTAAGGCAGCTACTACAGCTGTTGCAGCTATTGGGGCAACAATGTTCGCGGTAGCTAAAATTGCCGCTGCCGCTCGCATGAGAGACGTGCCAGTTTTGATATTATTGGTCCAGTAAAGTGAGTAACGGAAAAACAGTTTGGCCCTTCGTTATACGATGGTTTGCCGGCCGGGTCGGCCGTCCGTCCCTCTCGAGCTTTTCATGCCACTTTTGGGCAGCAGCACAACAACACCAACAAAAACAACGATCGCAGCAGGTGAAACAGAATGAGTGCGCGACTCGTGGCCACTCACAAAAAAATGTATCATGAGCCACTTAGTAGAAATGAAGACCAACTGCGGCCGAGTTCTCACAACTAAGGCGCGTCGTGGTAACAGAAGCAATATCTGTACATAAGTGGTGAGGCAAGCCTGTGACTGACACGAGCAATAACCCACTGAGAAACGACAACCGACTATCGAAAACTTAGAGTCTATCACTGCCACACGAAGGCAAAGAGACCGAAGGCCAGCAAGCCATGGCGTGGAGAACAGCCGAACTGGGTTTGCCTTAACCAATCGATTGTCGAATGCTTTGTAGTCATCGTACGAAGCACATATGGTATAGGCATGGGTGCCTGCAAAATTCAAGCGCAAAATTTATTGATTGATAGGCTTGCTGTTACCGTATTGGTCAGAACGCACTGGTTAGTGAATTCCGAAATAGGTCGAAACAATGTGATGTGTGTTTCGGTTGTTTCTAAATACAGGTTTCCAGCTTCATTGGATCTGTACCTAGATGAGAGAGGCTGGTCGGATAATTAAAGCTAGTACAACGGAAACCTTAATCATGTGCAAAATAGTTCAGATGTTTCGATGACTGCGTGATAAGTAAAGCCTTCATATCTAGTAGGCTTCTGTATGTCGTTTTTCATCTGAAACATGGAGGATAATTTGAAACCTTCAGAGGGAAAACCAGAATTTCTGGAAAGTGGCATACCAACGTATGAAAATGTAATTATCGTCATTCTATACTGTTTCTGTAGCACCGTGTTGAGCTCTTCGTAAAGTTATTTTAACGACTTCAAAGTTGACAGACGAAAGCACAGTCTGCTTGTTTATACATGAATTATCGAAAATATAACATACCCAAGGTAACGCGGTATTGTAAGATCCGTGTAACAAATTTCTACTTAAGTGGGGTTTGTCATTTTTGAGAATAAGCAGGAATTAGACTGATGTGTGCCTAGTTTCATGGTAGGCATAGATTTCTTTCAGCAACCATGACTCACCAGACTAAGGAAACTAAACTTTTTACCAGTCGATTATAGATGGCCTTGAAACAAATAAAACAGAGCAGTTTTAAATAAAAAAAAAGAGAGAACGAAGAGCTAACAGGAAATCGTCCAGTCTCAAACTAATGTGACATATTTCAACTGGTGTTTGCTGAAGGCTTAATTTGTTTAGTTGCCTGCTCGGAACATACCATTTAATATACGGAAATAATGGTACAATCTGTTACGCTTCAAAGAATTGCTCCATTTTTCGAAAAGGGTACACGTATGTATGTTTTCAAGCTGATTGTACTTGATCTCAAGTAGGTTATTCAATAGTTTTCGGTAATCTTTTACAACGCTTTAAATCATATACGATATATTACAATGCCTGTAAGTAGTGGAGCTTTTTCATGCCTAAATATACTCAGTCATGTCTGCCTCCGCAAAACGTCATACACAGCAATTGGAGTGCTATAGCTACAAAAATATATGTGCATTGTATAATTAATAATATTAAGTAATGTGCATAAATTATTATATAGTTTTATAATGTATTCATTAATTCCAAAACAATTTGTCCATTACATCCAATAATACTTCTTCAAATCTGTGTATGTGGCTTACTTCTAACAGTTTTGAAGTTGACACACGAAGGCAATATATGCTTTTCTTTGACGCGAACAAAATACAAATATCTTAAACAGCAAACAACTCGTCGACCGTTTGAAAGTATTATTACTTATAATGATGGGAAGTAGTACAGGGTTATTGTTACAGAGTAGGTTACATACATTGATACGATTTTTAAACTATTATTGCCGCCGTTGCTGATCGCATTCAAACGTTACTCAAATGATACCTATACACCTAAGTAGCGACACCCCTACTTACAATAAGTTCCACGATTGGTTTTATCGAAAGATGGTGGCGGCAGAAGGCGGCGGACAGTGTGCTGGATAATGGATATCGCTATATATATATATATAATAGAGCGAGTGACGTGACTGACGTGGAGTCGTGAATTTTCTGAGTGATGCTGCGTAGCAGTCTGACATCCGGTGCCTACTGAACGTGCCATGGCGTTGCTTTCCAATACTGAATCAGCTCTATCAACTACAGCTGCGTAGGATTAAGTCGTTTGGATGTCTCTTGCGTCAGGCTGAGCGATGCTACCATTTCCCGTGGCGATTGTGTGAGCTATGTGTCCAATGCAGTATTTCCAAGACCGTACGATGAGGTAGAGTTAGTGTCATCGACTGGTAGTATTAGGTGTAGCATCGGTATGGTGCAGCCTATGGGCGGAAAGTTTTCGTTGACCTTGGAATGCCCCCGTTTGGCGGTCATGTTTTGCTTTCAGTCGTCCAGGCAATGAATCTAATAAGCGATTTTTGGTTCACATCTGTTGAGGGGGATTTACGGCTATTTTCGTCTCTACATCAAGTTTCATTGATAGTGACAGTTTAATGGTATCTGTACACTGGTATAACCTGTGTCTGGTATAATGTTGAGGACGAATTGATTTCTAACTTAAAATAGTATTCAAACGAATCTCAGTTTATAATAATAATAATAACAATAATAAAGGAGAGTTCCTCAATAATTGGAACTTGGAAGTTTTAATCAACCTGTGCAAATACTGTGTGAAAATTTTGGCGAACTTGGACCTACGGCGTCATCCTGCAGACGCAGGTAGTTGAATAATATCGACTCGATGATCAGTCGATAATCACAGCTGGTTCTTCTATTTGCCAACACTGGTTTATTCACCTACACTGCACTGCTTGTTAACTTGCTTTGTGGAGATACTTTTTACAATGCGCAACTGCTGGTGCAGCCTTTGTAGCCATGGAAACATCATTGCAGATTATCTGTTATGTTTGAATACGACAAACATATGTACCAGCGAAAATTACTACCAAGGGACAAACGTTTGGTGGAAACGCGGAAATCCTACAGTTGTTCAGGTTGGTTCTGCATTAGTAAAGGAGCCAAGAAGTATGCCGAGGCAATAAGCAGATAGTGTTAGTCCAGTCAAAATGACTCAGTCATAGGAAATGCCGGTAGCCAACGCCTTGATGACGACAGCCCCTAGAGACAACAATAACACGAATTATCCTAAGAAAATATCGTTATAAAGGCCTGTTTCCGATTCTGTGTAATCACGACGAATCAACAACATTTCAGTGCATTTCGTTGCAGTATCGGTATGACTTTCCATGA